ACCTCGCCCCAACATCCAACATCCCGTCCCGGGCGTATGACTACCCGCGTCGCCTCTGGAGCAATACGACAGAAATCTGTCTCTGAAATTATAGCTGAGAAGGCAGGACCGAAAGCCATACCAACCCCCCGCTCAAGTAATCATTCGGCATCTACAAGTCCTCCAAGACCAAGAACAGTTCGCAATAAGTCACAAGAAGTCTCGACCGTCGTATTCGCCAAGAAGACACCGACACGGGCATCGAAAGCCCTGCAATCGTACAACGAAGATTATGCGTCGCTCCAAGGTGCTTCGGAAGATTCGAGCCGAGATTATCTAGAGGGTCTTTTCAAGTACCAGGCTCACCACCCGCCTAGGTCTGTACCTCTGCAGGAACTTGTAGCATCTGCAAGGAAGACGGTGTCGACGGCTGGGACGCTTGCGATGATTCGTGAACATCAAGACTACAAGATTTTGAAGAGAGTGTACCAGTTGCAGAATGCCAACCGATGGTCCTTGAGGCAACTTCAGAAAGCCGTCGAACCTGAGCGTCCATTTACCCACCAGGATCAAGTGCTTCTCGACATGAAGTGGATGCACACAGACTTCAAGGAAGAGAGGAAATGGAAGAAAGCACTTGCCGCTACTTTTGCGGAATGGTGTGCCGAGTACGTGGCCAGTACACCTGAAGAACGATCAACGCTACGGGTCAATGCATGCATTCCAAAGTCGGCTAGGCGTGCGAGCAACGACGAGGAGATGAATGATGCTCCTACGCCAGAGCTTGTCCACTCGAGTACGCACGAGACGGAGAGTGAGTCATACGGTGATGAGGACGATGTACTTACTCCCGTCAACGCCAGCCCCCCTACAGGTCTATTCTTACTAGGCTTCAACGACGTGGTCATGAAGATCGACCGCACACCTGCCAGTGATACTATGTTCCGGGAACTGCCTCTTTACGACCCGATGTTCGAGGGCTCCAGCGACACCAACCCGTTCTCTCTCTCAGAGCCACCCATCCTTCCCGTTTCCAAGTTCGTCACTGGAAAGCTGGTCTCGCAAATACGAGGGCCACCCAAGAAGCGTAGCAGGTATGACTATGACTCTGAAGACGAGCCGTCTTCGCCGCCTAGTCGATCTGGTACGTCAGCCGAACATTCAATGCCATCCACACCAGGTCGACGCCTATTCTGTCGCAACGACTTACCGCCGGAAATGACCAATGTCGCCTTATTCAACGCGGAGAACAAGCATGTTCGCGACCGGCTTCAGGCTGCCCATCAATTCAGACCACCTACAGAGTTCAACATGCCCACTATTGCCTTCTTCGAAAACCGCACGCCCTCTCAGTGGCTGTGGGAAGAAGACCAAAAGCTACGGGCGTTGGTGAAAGAGTATACATTCAACTGGTCCCTGGTCTCTCAGCAGCTTTCGTTACCTTCGATGTTCGTGTCCGGATCCGGTCGACGAACGCCATGGGAATGCTTTGAACGCTGGGTGCAGCTTGAAGGTCTTCCGGCGGAGATGTCCAAGACACAGTACTTCCGCACCTACCAAAGCCGACTGGAGCAAGCCAACAAGACCGTTTTCGCTCAGTTCCAGGCTCAACAGCAGCAGCAACAGCAACAAGGCCAGACCCCAGGTCAACCGCGCAGAAGACCCACGACTACGCCAATACGAGTAGAAAGAAGGCGAGAAAACAGACATCTCGCTATCATCGATGGCATGCGTAAGCTGGCCAGAAAGCGCGAGTCTGCTGCCCACAAGCAAGCGGAGTCTCAGAAAGCCGCTGCGCTTCGAAAAGCACATGAGCCTGCGCCACCCAAACAGACAACCCTAACGCCACAAGAGTTTAGTCGTATGAAGTGGGAACGCGAAGAGAAAATGAAGCAAAGGCACATTGCGCAGGAGATGATGGCTAGGGTAAGAATCATGTCCCTACACGATGAGTACACCACTGACGGAAAACAGCAACAAATGATGGCGCGGCAGCAGGCCCAAATACAGGTGCAACCAGGAATGGCGAATGGTGTGAACCAGATGCAACGTAACGGGACACCCGGGGGCACAAACAATGTTCCTCCGCAAATGGCTAATGCGTCTCTGCAACAGGGGCAGAATGGCCCGGCAATGGCGGCCCGCGCACACCAATCTCAACAGGGAATGCAAGCTAATTTTGCTAACGGCAACATGTCTGGCATGTCGATGGGCACACCGGGCGTTCCCCAAGCACAAATGCAAGGCAACATGCAGAACACCCAGCGTATGGGACCGCCGGACCAGATGCGCATGGCCATGCAAAGAGGCCAATTTAACGCTACGCAACAACACCAGTTCCAACTCCAACAGCAACAGATCAACATGGCTAGCAATCTTACCCAAGGGATGGGAATGAACGGTATTCCTAATGCGAACATGATGACACCCGTTTCCAATCAGAACGGTGGAATGAACGGGAACATGAACAACTCCATGAATGGGATGGCAAACACCGCTGGATCCCCACGAATGAGCCAGGGCAATGGTAACATGCAAACACCGTCCCGCCCCCTATCGAGTGGGCACATGCCTCAGCTCCTAGCTTTCCAGAACCAGATCAAGGGACAACATCCGGAATGGACACCAGAACAAGTTTCGAAACAGGCCTCGGACCACCTCAACCGTTACCTGGCTAAACAACGTACGCAGGCATCATTGAGTCAGCAGGCAATGAGCGCAGCAGCTGGATCGCCTGGCATATCTCCTTCTCCACAAATGGCGAATAATCAGTATTTCCAGCAGAACGGTAGCATGGCCAACGCTCCTCAAACAAACGCGGTACAGAATTATCAGGCCCAATTGGTCCAACAACAACGGCTGATGGCAAGACAGCAGGCTGGCAGTCCTGGATTGAACGCCCGACCACCTAGTCGGAGTGCCACGCCTCAGAATCCACAGATGCAACAAAGTCCCGGTATGCAGCAAGCACAGATTAACCGGTCTTAAGGAAACTGATTGGCAAAGAGAGCGCCTCTGCGAGGCCCCGTCACCCTTGGCTTGTATATAATTTTAATGTTCCTGCTTAGCGTTGTTCTTCTAGCGTGGGAAAGTCTGGTTTTTTTTTTTGCGATGTGTGGGCGTACCCATGAGAAGCATGGTGTTTGTGGCGTTGAATGGCGCTCACGCAGTCGCTCAAGGCAGTGGTTTGTATTAGGGGAAAACTCTTTGTGTCGCTTTTGCCAGCGACACCCATCATGTCTTGGTGATGGGCCTCCGAAGCAATATGTAGCTGTCTGAATATCATGCAACTCGAGCATAACATCGAGATACAAACATCTTTCAATCGCGTCCCTTGCCGTGTACTGAGGCGACTTGTGGACTGTGTGGCTAAGCCGCAGGACCTGCCATTGGTATATATTCCAGTAGGTTTCTAAGGTCTGCAAAAACGGTTGGAGACTGAATTGTCGAAGATCGGTGCTCGGCAGTCGACGTGGAATGTAGCGATGGAGAAGCTGATGTGGGCCCGGACCACATGTTGACTAAGCTGCGCGAGGCAGCTGAAGGCGGTGGGTGAAGGCACAAAGAACGTCGAGCGCGGAAGTCAACCTCACCTCCGCAATCTTCCCCAGCGGCCACCACACGCCATCGCAATCTTGCCACAGCTCCTCCGACTCGAACCAACCGAGCGCTGATTCTTTCGTTGGTTTTTGGGTTTCCCCACTGCTACAGCCGTCGCGCACCTTCTTCACTTGCGATCGCAATAGGCGTATTCATACATACGGACAAGAGTAGATAGGCATAGAGAGGAGAAAGACCCGGCAAAATGAACGCGCCAGACAGGTATGCTTCATCTTTTGCAGTTCATCCTCTTCAACACAGTATCTCTGTACGCGCAGTCCACAGTCGACGATGTCAGTTCAACACCACGGTGACGACGAACCTACACGGCGCGTTCGCTGCTTCCACCACGAGCGCGTGAAAACAACGAAATGACGCACATTCATATGGGCGCACGACACTACCGCGTGACCACGAGAGCGCGCTGCGCCGCATATATGCACCCCCGATGGCAAGAGCGTGCGACACAACGAAAGTCACGACTCTACCACGCCCACGCCCCAACGAACGAGACCCTCGATACCCCCAACCAATGAGCGACAACCCAAACACATCCTTCTCCTCGAAGATCGGCCAACTGATAGAGGAAAATCCAAACTGTGCACTGCGCGACAGCTCAAAAGACAACCGGCATGTAACGCACAAAGCTGACCACGACTACGAGAACAGATTCGAGCTCTTCCTGCTAGACGAAGGCCAGCAGAAAGTCGAAGAGAAAGCCGAGACACGTACGTAGCGCCCCACACCATCCCTTCCACCCACACTCCCTCGCCGCCTTCCATCCACCAACTAACAACCCTCGCACAGGTGTCCCCAACACCGCCGTCTTCACCTTCAACAAAGAAGACCACACGCTCGGCAACCTCCTCGCGCAGCGGCTCCTCAAGAACCCCGCCGTCATGTTCGCCGCCTACAAAGTGCCCCACCCGCTCTTCGCTACGTTTGAACTGCGCGTCCAAACCGACGGGTCTATCACACCCAAGGAAGCGGTCATGGCGACTTGCCGGCTGGTCATCCAGGATCTGTCGAAGCTGAATGAGAGCTTTCAGACGGAGTGGCTGGGTAAGAGGATTGTTAGCGAGGGTGAGGCGGAGAGGCAGCAGAGGGAGCAGAATAACTTCTAGGTTTGCGCGCTTTGCCGAAGTGGCTACTGGGAAGCTCTTGGGAAATGGAGTTGTGGGTTGCATATGTTAGGCGTTTTTGACTGGTTGGTTTGTTGGTTGTTATGACGATTCAACAAAAGAGTTTTGATACCGTGACTCACATACCCTATAGAGCTGCGAACAGTTTGGACAAAGAAAAAACAAAGTGGCTCGTCTTCTTCTATCTTCACAGTTGCTGTAGACCATTGACTGTGAGAAAGCTGTTTGGTACTGGTATAGTCTTTCGTCTATCTACGTTTTACACACGCAAATGCTAGTCTACTCGTCATCCAGATCCGACCAACGTCCCGGTAGTGGCTTAGTGGCGAGCTCAGCATCATCTTTCGGCGCGACATGATTCTCGTCGCTAGCCGGCGTACTGCCCGAAGCCTCAGGCACATCCTTGGACGCACCTTCATCCTCGCTCATGACAGCGCTGTTAGCCCCACTAACCTTCTCCTTCTGCTCCTCCTCCTCCTCGGCCTCCTCCCAGCTCTCTGCAACCTCAACAGGTACCTCCTTCTGTTTCTTCTTCTTGCTACTCAAGCTGAGCACCGCAAACCCGCCCTTGTTCCCGAAGGAAGTTGTCTTTGGGAGCTGGCGGTTTGGAACACCCTTCGAGGCTGCCACTTCGCTCCAGCCTGAACCGGGACCTACATCAGACTCTTTGCGCAGGATGTTGAGTGAGGAGTCGAGACGCGCAAGCTGCATGCTTTTGCCGATGTTTTGCGTGGTGAGAGCTTTGGTTAGCGGTGCTTGGATCGATTCGAGCATGGTCTGCATTTCGCGTTCTGGGATGCTGAGCCGAGCTGCTAGAGGTGGCTTCAATGCTACGGCTTCGCTGGGAAGGAAGGTGACCTCTAGCTCGCATCGGAACGATGTCGTTGCGAGTACGCTCTTGATGATGGGGTTGAGCTCTTCGATAGTGAGCGCAAAGCGAGGATTCAGGATAAGGAACGCGTTATAGGGGTCGCCATTGGTGTTGCTGGGCTTGGGGCGCAATGTGGCAGTGGAAGACACTGCTGGTGTGGGCGCAGGCGCAAGACGTTGTTGAACTTGACGAGTTCTGGCGCAGTCCGCAAGTGTCCGCATTGGGGCCATGACGAACTTAGGGGTCTTGAAGATGGCCACATGTCGATGTGGTTCTGGATCCATGCTCTCGGAGTCCATGCCAAAATCTTCAGCCAGGTGGTGGATGAAGGCGCGCTGACTACGGGGCATTGGCTTGAATCGAAGACGCTTCTCATCTGGGTCGGCCGCGAAAAGTCTAAGCTGCTTCTCCTGAGTCGCTGCCCAGGTAGAGTTTTGCTGGTACATGTTCAGTGTGGCGTCTGAGTATGGAATGTGGTCATTCTGGTGCTCCGGATCAACGTTGAGTGCAAGTGCTAGAACACGATTACGCTCTAACCTCGCGCACTCTTCGTCACACTTGAGCACCTTTTTCTGGTTGCCATCTCCATTGCGCGAAGCATTGCATTTGGCCTCTTGCTTAATCCTCTGGCACTCGCAAGTAACGAAGATCTTGTGGGGACACGGTTTCTCTTCTTTGCAGGGTTGAGGGAAGTGGCAGGGTGCCAAACACGGATGACCACAGGTGCTAAGCTCTTTGCCACATGCCTGGGTACATGGCTCTTCGCACTCTCCGGGTCGATGACATTGCTTCTGACACTTGTGTGTGCCACACTTGAGCGTACGCCCGCAGACTTGGCCACAGCGTACCTCGGTCAGCCAGCATGGCTGGTTTTTGAGAACACTCTTGCCACATAGACATGGCTTGGCGGTAAGGAAAGCGCACTTCGGACATGGCTGGTCATCCAGATGGCAACTATGGTCCAGTTGGGGATGACCGCAGTCCTTAGGTCGCTCGCACTTGAAGCGACACGGTGGAGGTTTTGTACCGCATGGTAATGGTGGTTGTAGCACAGTCCGTCCACAGTGACAGCTAAGTTCATCGAAAATGGCATCGCGACATGTGCCACACGGACCCTTATGACAAAGTTCCTGGCAGCGATGTTCGGGGTTGCCGCACTTCAATTGTCGACCACAGCTCCGCGTGCATATGTGCTCGGCCTCAAAGTTCTCGTGAGCCTGACGAGGAGCCGAGTTCAAAGGCCTTCCTTTACGGCGGTTCGACTGACGTTCCGCAGCTTTCTTCTCTCCAGCGCAGCAGTGCTCGCCGCACTCGTGGCGCCCGCAGTTCAACGAGACTTTGCAGATGCGCCTGCATTGGGGAGGCTCGTCCATGCCTTGGTGGCAGATGGTCCTGGATGATGTGCGTCCACACCTACATGATATATCAACCGTCTTCAAGCAAGGCCGACATTCGCCTTGGTGACAGAGCTGCTCGCACTGGTGACCACATGCGAGTGTTTGACCACAAGGTTTGTCGCAATTGGGGATCGGATCTTCGCAGGTCGTGCGTGGGTTGCCGGGCATGTCTCTCAAAGCGGTCTTGCCACAAGGACAGCGGTTGACTCGGTCTGGAGATCGCGGACAATGAGGCGCTTGCGTATCCTGTGAATGGCATGCCATCTCACAAGTGTGCTTCCCGCAATCGAATGAGCGTCCGCACTGATTAGGGCACTGGAAGGATCCTATCCAGGTCTCTACTGTGGCAGCACCGTCTGCGGCGACATGAGACTGGCTGCTCTGCTTCTCTTCTGCCCGGTCATGACATAGAATGTCTTTTTGTATATGTCCGCAATAGCAACGTGCCGGCACTCGTACCTCGCAGGCACCGCAAGGACCGTCGTGACAAGGCCGATCGCATCTGTGCTCACCACAAGACATCAAACCTCCACAGACATCGCCGCAACTCCAGCCGTTCTCATAGTCGGTATCAATACAACGGCGAGTGATGGACCTCTTCCCACAGAAGCAGTGTTGCGTGGGACCCATCAAGCCACACGGAGGACAGGGGCCGGCATGACACGTCGAGCCGCAAGGGTGTGGACAGGGCTTGGGGAGAAGTCGGGGTCGTGAGCAAGTCTGGCCACACGAGAATGGTGGTAGACCGGGTGTTGAGCGCGGATCCAGCTCCTTCTCGCACCAACAGTGGAAGTTCTTGGGTAGAGTGTCCTTTGGTAGGTTGCAGCCGGGGCAGCGCCACTGCCTCGGAGGAGGCGTCTCCCCATCTTGAGTCTGCTGTCGCGCTGCAGCCGAACCCTCATTTGTTGACCACTTCTTGATGCAGCCCAGGTGGAACACGGTCCAGCATGTTCTGCACGACCATACCCCCCGTGAACGCCTTGTGACGTCTTCAGTGCAAATGGCACATTCGTAATGACCATTATCGATATCCTCGTGTGTCCTGGTGGCGATGTCAGGCGCGGTGGATTTGGGTGCTTGCGGCTGCTTCTGGCGCGGCGGTCGTGATTTGCGAGGGGCGATGGGTTGGCCTGGCTGGAAAGCTGGCGCATCTGCTTGTAGTCCTGGCGGAGCTTCTGAGATGGCAGAAGCCGCATCGTCCTCTACAGTCAACTGTCCACCGAATTGACGGCCGCCAGCAGCCATACGCTGTGGAAACCGCTCTGCGCCGCCTCTTGCTCGGCCACCCCGCGCACCGCCACGTCCGCCTCTTCCACCTCGATGCGCTGCTTGTTGCACGGATGAGGGCACAAATTCGAGGGCAGCTGCATTTGGTTGCGACGGTCGTCCACTGTCGGCCTGACCTCCTCGCCCTCGTCCTCTACCACCGCGCCCGCCGCCCCTCTGTGGCTGCTGTGCTGCTTGCGCCTGTGTTTGCTCTGTTTGCTCTGACTGTGCAGCCGTGTTCGCGTTTGTATTTCGGCCTCGTGGTCGCCGCCGTCCTCGTGCGCCTCTCGAGGCATCGGATGGGCCTGCGGCAGGTGGTTGAGGTGCAAGTGCAGGAGCCGACATGTTGTCGATTGGATTGCGGCAGTTTCGGGCGCTGGCCAAACGAAGGTGTGTAAGCGTTGAACCGCCGAGGGTGGAAAGAAAGATTATTGCTGCAGGCTCTAGTAAATGTGTGGCCTGCTGAACTGGTAAAGAGAGGGCGGTCGCTTTGTTGCTGTGGTGGGAGGCTTTGCAGTGGCGAGCCTTATACTGGGGAAGGTGCGTGAAAGGACACTAAGAGAGGCAGTTGCAGATTATGCAGGCGCGGTGATGAGTCAAGGTCGACTCATGCGACGGAGCAGCCGGGCGCCGACACGTCGGGCTTTGAGGGAGCGCGTGAATTGATTGCTGATGTGGGAGCTGTCGCTCGCATCGGAAATTCCATGGGCGCGTCATACCCAGGGTCCGGCCAATCGAGGCTACGGCTAGTTCCGGGCGCCCATGGTCGCCGCGTTGGAGCTTCACAGCGCGAACAACACCATCGCCCGCCGACCACCCACGCACCCGCCCTCGCCCCCATCATGGTCAAGTCACTCGTCGGCGCCCTCGCTCTGGCAGCGCTACCCTCGGCCCTCGCCTTCCGCAACACGTCGCCCTTCTTCCTCTTCTCCACGGCCGAGTACGCCTCCGTCACCGCACGCCGCGCATCCTGACGTCCAAGCTAACAGCTGCAGCCTCCTGATCCCCAACAACGACGCCGCCATCGCTGAGTCATCCGAAGTCACCGTCGACATCCTCAAGGCCCTCGAGCACTGCCCGACCAAGTCGTACATCATCATCGAGCAGGATGGCGTTTCCGCCGCCGACTACGCAGACGGACGCGCCATGCCACAACTGAGCCAGTACATGTCTGGCCAGCACTCCGAAGTCAAGTCGACTGTGACGATTCCCGACGTTGTTGGCACTGTCGATGCGGGAGCCCTCGCCGACCATCTGGTGTCCAAGTGTGGGCAGGATGGTGGATTCTTCGGTCGAACAACCAACCCAGTGCGCCCAGGCTCGCAGGCGTTCCGCATCGAGCAACTTCAACGCGATGGTAGGCAGTACATACTCAGGATACTCTACCCGGGCTGACCAGTACAGACACCAAGTTCGACAACCTGATTGTCAACTCGGCCAAGTCCCAGGACTACACCTTCATCTACATCACCACCCCTCCCACCGAGGCGCAAGCCAAGGAGTCGCTCGAGCACCACACCTACGAGATGGAGACCTCCTTCCCAGAATCCGTGCAGATGGAGCTGAAGCGCGATCTCTCTTCGCATGCCAAGCGGGCAAACTCGACGGAGGGCGGCCTGTTCGAGAAGTACCAGTACTTCACACCCGGCATCTTCATGGGATTCGCTGCTATTATCCCGCTGTTCCTCATCCTTCTGGTCGGTATCCGAGCCCTCACCAGCCTCGAGGTTTCATACTTCGCCTTCAGCAAGGAGATGGGCCCCAACGCGCAGAAGAAGCAGTAGAGGCATTTCAGTGGATGGAGAACTTGTTAGCGCACAATGTATATCCTGTAAGTTAGTAGGCATGATGGACCGGCGTTTGGAATTTGAATCTGTAGCGAAATACCAACATTGTGTTACCCAGGATTTGCCTCTACCTGACATCCTGTTCTACTGATAACAGGAGCCCTGCATATATCGCAACCAGGCAGGCGCATAAGTCAACGTTGGCGGGCCGTTCGGGCTTGCTAGACTGATGATGTTAGTTGATCGGTTCCCCAACGTTTTACCGAGAACTCGACACGCCGGAGTACCACCTACGTGCACAGTCCGCGCTAGGTCAGGCCTCCACAGGTACACGAACAAGGGCTTCCCGTCCGATGTGTGGCAAGCATCCTGGCGTAAAGTGTATATGTACAGCTTTCTGTGTTTGAAATTCAAGTCCACTCTTCGACATCTCACCATTGACGAGTGCACAAGTCATTCAAAGACAGGCCCAGTGTCTATCGAGAGCTTTGAGCAAGACCCTGAAAAGCAATACCCGCACACATCCCACCATGGCCTCTTCAAAGCCGATGGACATCATCATCTTAGGTGGTGGCATAGCTGGCCTAACAACTGCCCTCTCCCTCACCAAGTTTGCGCCTGTTTCATCACCACCAAACATCACCATATTCGAGATTCGACCTGAGCCCGCGACAATCGGCGGTGCCGTAAACCTCACACCCAACGCTCTGCGTCTCCTATCACATCTAGGAGCTCTTGATGAGATCCGCGCCAAAGGATATGGCGCCGAGTGTCTCGCAGTCGAAGTCTTCGACCTCTATACCAACGTCAAGATAGCAGAGAGCTCATTCAAAGGACCAGACGGAAAGGGATTGGGCGACCCTCCATTTACTGCCTTGAGAATCACAAGAGGAGAAGCACTCAAGGGAGTACTCGCCGCCATCGAGAAGCAGCCCAACATCAAGCTCATCTGTGGCAAGAAAACAACCAAGATCAGCGAAAGCGACACCAGCGTCACCATCGACTTTGACGATGGCGGAAGCGCAACCGCAGACATACTAATCGGATGCGACGGCATCCACAGCGTCACCCGTCTCAAGCACGTCGAGCCCGAGCGCAAAGCAATGTACAGCGGAATCTGCAACGCCTTTGGCTTTGCCCCCCGACGAAAGATGTCCGAAGACAGCAAAGACTACGAGCCCACGCACTTTGACGTCAGCGGCATGAACTTTGGCCGTCGCGGCATGATGTTGACGTCTTTCCACGACCAAGCCCGCGAAAGCATCTACGTAGGCGCACTGATGCAAGTCCCCGAGATCGCCGACCGAAACGGCTGGAAGGCAGCAGGCGCCGATGCACAAAAGACGCGGGACGAAATGCTGGAGCGGTATTCTGGTGCTGCGAACCCGCAAATTGCGCATTGGATTGAAGACGCAGAGGGTCTGTATCTCTGGCCTGTGTTTACGCTCTCCAAGGGAGGCAAATGGGCTACCGACCGCGTTATGCTGATTGGAGACTCTGCTCATGCTATGCCTCCGCAAGGTGAGTCAACGGGTATTGTCTTTGAAGATGGTGTCTTGTTCTCGCGCTGCTTGGCCAAGTGGATGGAGAGTAAACGCGATGAGGGTGTACCGGTCAAAGAAGCGTTTGATGCGTACGAGACTCTGAGACGTGCTCGTATCGACACTGCGTTCGATGAGAGTCAGAGTGTGGTCAAGACGGTGCAGGATACGCCTTGGTAAGATCTCCCATGTACGGACTGCGTGTGAGACATACACTGACTTCGTACATCGTCATTTTAGGTTGGGTCACAAGATTAAGATGAATGTTGTACCGTGGTATCTTTGGTGGACGAGGAGCTATCGCGAGAAGCATTTTGTCGAGGATGTTACGACGTGTGATATTGGGTACTGATAGGCTGATGCCCTGCTTACACGAAGTGGCACAGTGCTCCACTTCAGGAATCCGGGTCCAAGTTTTTTACTCAAATCTCACATGGCCCGCTCATCTTCTTTACCTTGTCTGCTTTTCGATATCTGATCTTGCATCTTCATATCGGCCGACTCTACTTTCATCGCTCCCAATATCGCTTACAACGCTCATCCCTTCCTCAAACGCCACCAAAATGTCTTAGTATTGTTCTTCAAGCGCGCTCGTCCGTTCATTTAAAGTCCATTCGATCGAGACCGCGCCATCTCCGAGGGGCCAGACGAGAAATGCAAACTATATAGAGAGCTCTATAGGCTTCTAGTGATGCTCCAGTACAACATTCCACAGCCCTTCAAACTCTGTCTCTTGAACAAACCTCCAAAGCCGTTCTTTGCAAAATGCGACCCTTCTTCGACGCTACAGAATTTCCCTCTTTCCGCTTCTCAAACGAATCAAGTTCGTACCGGATGTTACGTCTGAACTGCACGCTCAGCAACCTCAGTCCTGTTGCGAGTCCCGTTTCAACAACAACTCCGACCATCGGTTCTATACCCCACATCCAGCGAAACGATTCAGCGGTCACTACACCAGTTCTGGAAACTACAAAACCGATTGACGACAAGGTCATGAAGGCCGAAGTGAGCGCTGTCTAGTCAGAGACTGCGTGAGATAGACAAGACGTGATGGCTTGATGTTGAAAAAGGAAAACGAGGTTGCGGCGATACTTTCGACGAAGGAAGGTAGACAGATGTAATATTAGGAAAAGCCACCTGTCCAACATTCGCACAATTATGCCCTGCTGCCACTATAATGTTAATAAATAGGTAAAAGCACGAATGAGAGAGAATCATCCCTCTCTTCGCAGCCCACTACAACCCATTTCACCACCCCATCCCACACCCAAGACAACAACACCCACCACAACCCACCCGCCATTTCCCCATGCAGCAACTTCCCCAACTCTCATCGATCACTGCAACACAACCACCTTGATCCATGCTCACACTGCACCGCGCAAAAAGGCGAGAAAAAGCGAAAAGCGCGACACTCGCTCTACTGCACGGGATGCGCACGCGCAGCGCACGGTCATTGGCTGCGAACTGGGTTCCTTGTGTGGAAAGAGTGGATTGTCACACCGGTATACTTACCTCCCGTTGTTTGGCGAGTCGTGTGGTGAATGGGTTGGCGGGTTGTTCCCTGTAGGGTGCTGTATTGAAGGAGTGGAAATGGGTTAATTAGGGGATGTAGTGTGGTGTGTGTGGGTTGGGTTGGTGGAATGCGGATGACGGGTGAGATCTTGTGAGGGAAGCGGCACGGGATCAAGCCCGAGGGGTAGGGGTGCGTGGGTCGGTGGGAGGAGGGTTGTGCATTGCCGTGTCTGCTGCGATGGGGCGAGTTCGGGAAACTTTAGTGGAAGTTAGGAAGGATAGGAAGGTTTCATAGCTGCTTTCTTAAGTAGAAGTATTTGGTGGTTGTGTTGTAGAAAGGCGTTCTGCGGCTCCGCATCAAGCGTTGGTGCATAGTTGTACCAAACTCTCAACAAAACCGGTGCGTCTCTCCACATCTCTCTAAACACTTGCATTCAAGCCGGTATCATTAATCAACATACACAACCGACTCTTTCAAACCCAACGCCCAGCATAAGAAGTC